ATGTAGTGTTGATATTTCTAGTCTCTTGGTATCAGAAGAGAAGAATCAAGTACAACTCCCAGAAGACTTCATTTTTCCCTTTCGATTTTCTGTTTGGAGGGAAAGATAAAACTGACTGGAAGTCATGAGACAGCATCTTTGCTCTTCCTGCTCCCCGACTGCTTTGCCTACAGCATTAGAGGACTTCGTTTCAGAAACTCTCTCTTTAGCATTTTATTCGATTTAGTGGCTTCAATTTCAATCATGTTATATTGTATTATCTCACATTCTGCTACTGTATTTTGTTATTTGAGTTTCTTTCCTTTGGCTCATTGTTGCTGTTTATCTCATCCAGGATCGTCTCCCTTCCTTTTCCTTTTCCCTCTCTCCTCTCAACTCCCCAGAGTGTAGATCTGTGGGACCCTTTGCTCCCTTGTTATGGAAACCAGGACAAACTATGACATCCACACTGGTAAACATCACATTAGGAGCACTCTCTGCCTCTCTCTTTCCTCTGACACTGAGCATAGGAGAAGGAACCCAGCGGTTCTGCCAGATTTTTGTATGAACTTGGAGTAGATTTTGTAAATCTGCTAGAGGGGAAGTGCTCATTAGGTGAGTTCTACCTGCATTCCAGGGTCAAATTCTAAGGGCATGCAACAAATACCTTCACGCTTTGTAGAGTGAAATGTGAAAGCTCATTCTTTGGATTACACAAATAGTTAATAAAAATAAAGTAAGGATTCTGATGGTAAAAAAATACACACATACGAGGAGAAATCTATCCATGAAGACAGGGAACAGTAGCTGACATACACAGGAGTAGCGAAGTGTATTAAATGTGAAATAGGTAAATCATTAAGTCAGTATATTTTACTAAGTCCTTCCAGATATGGTTCTGCTTCCTTAAGTGATTTACTTTATTAGGAGATTAGTTTCCTTCTAGTGTGGAAGAGTGGCTAAAATAATATTGGAGGTGAATTTGTTCAATGGACCCCTTTCCTTTTTTCCCTGCTAAATGGCAGTTTATTTATTGCTGTCATATAGAAATATGACATGTTGTTGCACTGAAGAGAAAACATGGAAAAAGTCTAAAATGATCACCTGAGGAATTGAGCTGTGTTAGATTAAAAGTAACAAAGAGATGACAGTGGAAAAATTCCAGAACATGATTATCTCTCACATTAAACTTAAGCTCTATCATGAGGTTTTTGTTTATGTTTCAGATAATATGATTTATTTAAAACATTAAATGCAAACATAGTATGCAAAATCAGTAATGGAATAATTTTTGAAAGAAAAGGGGTGTGTATACTGTAAAATTACTCACGCTGTAAATCTTACTAAAAGCTATTGAACTATTTTGAATTATCTTAAAAGTGACAAGGTTTGTATTTGGTCATCCCATTTCAGGTTACAAAATAATGCATGAGTAATTTCTACAGTCATTTATGATTCTATTTGTTTCTCGAACTTTATTAGTATTTAGTATTACCCACACTATCACAGATGTAACAAAAACTTTTTCCTAATTTGTTTTTATGTGATAGATAATTTTGAGCATTTACTCATTAGAATAATGGAATATTTTGTGTAAAGAGATCTGTTGTGTACAAACCAAACAAAGCGATTCTTGGTGTGTAAGAGACCATACAATTTTATAGATTTGGGGGACTTTTAACCCTTTCCCTTCCCTCCCCTCCCATTCCATTCCATCCCATTCAATTCCTTTTCCATCATGCTCATAAAGTTATTGCTTTGCCTTGTCACCTAAAAGGGAAACATACTAGCTTTCCAGCTGAGCCAAAAGAGTCTCCACCAAGTTGTAATTGCAACCAGTTGGCAAAAATCAAGTGGAGATAAGTGTGGAAACTTCTTTACGGTGTGTGTTCACACTTTTCTATCACTTTAAGTACTTGTTCATTAGGAAAATGTTCACTAATTTGTGATCAGAATGGATTCTATGTGTAGGGACTGAACATTACTCACAGTACCACAAATATAAGCCTTGATTATTACAAGGAAAGGCACTAAGGCAAGCACCTCTTTCATCAAGTGGTTAGGGGGTTAAATTTTGTGCCTGGTCAGAAGTTGATGGAGCCAAAGTTTAAAGCAGTTGCAAGGGAAGCTGAGGGATGCTGATTTCAGGAATACTGATCTCATTTTTGCAGGAGAGTAGGTGAGTCTTTGTACTCTGCTGTGTGACTGTTGCCAGGTTATAAAGGTCAAGTATTTTATAGCATAATTTCATTTTACAACTTTTTCCACGTTAGAAGGCAGTCAAGGAATCCAGTTTAGATAACAAAATGTCATAAATACATACTTTGCTGTGCTTTAATTGTGAATCTGTTTTATGTTTCTCTGCTGCAAAATTATAGCCTATAGGAGCACGAGCTTCCCAACTCAACAACCCAACTTGGAGCTGTGACCTGCTGCAAAATGCTGTGGTGGGAAAAATAGGCAAACTCAAATCCAATCACAGTTGCTCTGCATTCTGTAACCTGTATTCTGATTAAAAATTTGCTGAACTCTACAGGAATTTCAGTTTCACAGAAACTCTTCTATTCATTAAAATAATTCCAGATTAAAAAAACAAAGCTCTTTATCAAACATTTTTTAGGATGAAGAAGAAAAATCTTGCACATAAGATCTGACATTGAAACACATAGCAAAACTCTGTTGTCTCCAGCACCATTCATTTTTCATTCTGAAGTTCCTTAACAGTTGATCTGCATCCACATTGATGCCACGTGCCAGAAGCTAGCAGAACTAAAGTAACTCTTGTTCTACATTATCCTGTAGGAGACCATAACTTCACAGCCTGTATAGGGAGTTCTGTGGAATCAGCAGGTTAATTCAACATATCTATTAATTGTTGAAAGTAGAAAAATAATGAAAACCAATCTGCAGCCTGCTTCCTCCATTCCCACTGGTGGGATTACAATGATCCCCGTCACATGCAAAATCCATTAAAGGTAGATCACATACTGTCTAGGTGAGATTTCCTTTATGTATATATTTTTACACTACCTAGTTCAATGGAGTGATATCTTAGTTCTTCAGATCACTGAGAGGTAAGTATTTAGTCACAGGCAAAATAACTCCAGCCTGCAATAATACTTAATTAACATTTAATCATGTTGTCAAAAAATGACAACACATGAGTCTTAACACAGGTCACATCTTTAAGCAGTGAAATGCAGCTCTATGAGAATATTCAGCATTTATACACATGCAGACCAGAAAAATGTGATTCTTCAATCTATGTTTTGTCTCACTAAGTTTGTCAACTTTTTCTATAACTACAGTTTGTTCTCTACACTGGCCTAACCTATTCCAGCATAGGCACTCAGTGAAATGAATCCACTTGCAACCTTCTTGTAGCTCAATCTATGGAGAAGGGAGAAAAAAGGAGAGAGAGGACAGTGCAGCTGCCTTGGAGGCTCAGGCCTCCATTTGCTTTTTTGGGAGTTGATGCCATTTAAAGTTTTTTGCTAGAAAATCTTTAAACTGCAGAGAAAATTCTTGATTAAAAAAATGCCATTAGATATACCCAAAATGGTGATAGAATAGAATAAGGGAACAGAAAGTGCCCTCATTTGGAGGCAAGTAAAACATTTTGCGAAAGATTTTCCTTGATGAAAGTGAACTGATGCAGAAAGGGTAATACTGAGAATGAACATCATATATGTTTAAGGAAAACGTGTGTTCCCTGAATAAATTGCCTAGATTTAAACTTTCTCAGGGGTCTGCAGAAACAAGTAATTTATGTTTATGTAAGTAGGAAGAGATTCTTTGCACAAGCACTGCAGTAATACTTCTGGTATGCACTTTGAGGTCTGTAAAAATGCTTTTTCTGGGGAAAGCAGTCCATGAAATTTCCATAGCTAAGGCCAATTTGCACAATCCAAGTAAACGTCCTGGGATATTCTCTGAGGGCTGAAGGGATGAATACATCCACAGCACCTCCTCCCACCGCAGCAATCACGAAGGCTGTAGGTAATAGACATCCCCTCTTTCACCTCCTCTGAATTCATATCACATCTGAACCCATACTCGTGTCATATTCACATAGAATAATGGTTAGTGATAGCTCTACTTAGCAATATTTTATTGTTCATTAACACATGCAAAAAGGGGAGTTGTTTCCAGTGAATCAAAGGAAAATATGCATTACTTCTAGGGTGGTGGCAAGATTCTACCCAGTGGGTGTGGACATTTTTTGCACTATATTGCATTATTTCCCTCGCATTCAGGACACATGGGGAAAGGAGGGGAAGTATATAGCCTTTCCCCATACTAAAACATTAAAATGCAAAGACTTTTCCTCTTCTTTCTTTTGGCTTTACATTAAGAATTCAGTTTTTACCCTCCATATTGCTCAATAAACTGCTAAAAATTTCCAGCAGCTACATTTTTCAGTGAAGCCAAGTACAGTACGAGGTTTTCCAAAAGCTGAATGAAACAATCCATTGAAAATGTCAGTCAGAAGCCAGAGCATAATTTTATTTATTTATTTTTTGATCCTATTTCAGAATTCATGATTAGCATGTGGCAAACTGTAAAATGAAGTGGAACAAAACTGCCTGAAATAAATTTCACCTTGACCTGATTTCCACTTGACTGAATTTGTTGTAGTAAACTGGTGACACATAGTGGATAAACAGTAACACATGTCTGCATTTGAAAAGGGAGAACAGATGGTAAACACAGTGATATAAGAACTGTTACACAAGAGGTTTGTGTATAATTCAGAAAGGTCAAATCCCCTGAAAGCCAAAACAAGTTTAATAAGGGAGAGGAATTCATTGACAAGGAGGAGTGAAGTGGGCAAAACTGATGAAGATTGGTGCTCCTCAGAGAGTTTCACTCAGAAAAGGCATCTGGCCACATCTGCCTCTTTTTTTTTTAAAAAAAAAAAAAAAGCAAACAAACAACTGTTGGAAGTATTACTCTTTTTTAATGGTACTTCCCTGTAGGAGAACACTTTGCTAGTCCACAAATCTGATTTGTGTCACTGCTCTAAAAAGCACTTCCTGTGCAACAAGAAAATACACACTTGTGATGGTTTGGAATATATTTTGACCTTCCAAAGACATTGATTTACTGGGCAAGATCTTCTTCAGTGTGATTATCTGCTCCTGTTGGTCTGCTGATCTGCTTCCATCTGACTATGAGTGCTGCATTGGGTAAAGGAGTCTTAGCTGAGCTCAGGCAGGATTGGGAAGGCAGCTGTCTTTGAATGTTTGTAGTGTCTTCGTGTCCACTTGGCGTGTGGAGTTAATATCCTTATTTTGAATATCAGGAGCAATTAATTGGTTCAGTGGCCACCTGGACTAGAATAATGCAAATAAATAATAAAAAAAGCAGAATCTCCCAAGCCCTAGGTAAATTTCCTGCACGTCAAACTGTCTTCTACCGGACACACACTTGAAGGCTTTTGTCAAGTAGTGCTGGAAAAGAAAAAGAACTGTTCTAATTTGCCTTGGTTGAAGCATTCATGGTCACTAAGAGGAAAAAAAAAAGAAAAAGAAAATGAAGTGAGAATTCATTTAAGAGTTCATTAGCCAACAGTAGTGTTATTGGTGCAAAGTTCCTAGATCTCCTTTCAATAGTATTTCTAGAAATCCAAGCAAAAGAAAAGTTATTCACACAAAATTATTCCTTTGCACATATCTATCCTTTATCTTGCAGTATGCTTTGAAAACATTAAATATTGCTGCTCACAGATACACCAAAATATTATCTAACTTCCTTTGTAGATATAAGTAATTTAGTTGAAAATAATTTCTGCAAAGTGTGAAGATTTTAGTTTTCCAAACTACTCAAAGAAATTTTATTAAAATGTAATTCATAGTAAAATAGCTATTCTCCTTTAAATATAAGTTCTATAGTTAAAAATACACCTAGAGAACGTTATCCCTAAACCACATTTTTTTAATCAATTCTTGGCAGCAGACTATAAACTTTAAATTGAAGTTACTCTGCTTAAGGGCTCCCAGAAAACAGAGATGGAGTGAAAAATTAGGTGCTGAAGTCAGGCATGTTGAATGTTCAGCTTGTATCTGTTTTCAAGAATTAACAATGCCAAAGTCATTTCACTTGTGACTTATTTAACAGCTGTCTGCAATTGGAGATTCAAATTTAGTCTCTTATCACATCTTTTACTTTAGGATTTACGTATTCCATTAAAACAAATGTACCTTGAGCCAACAATTTTTCCAGTAATAAAAGATTATTTTAGCTGAATAGAGACTTTGCTTGTATCTCTGCCACACAACAGATATCTTTCTGTCCCTTACAAACGTGCCCAAATTTTCATTAGCAGCTACAGCTCTGAGGCTAAAAGGTTTGCAGCCTTGACAGCGCATAGTCTGAGTAGAGATGCTGTTCTGTTTTCTTCCTTAGCTCCTCAAATGGTGGTAAGGGTACTTCCATATATTATTTCCATCCCTCACTTCCATTTTAATTCTTCCCCTGGTGACCTTTACATATTAACTGAGGAAACACAATGAAAGCCAAAACGCGCAGAATACAGCACAGTTCCATACTTCCTGGGGAATTTCTAAGCTGCTCAGATCACAGAATTAAGATGTGCCTCCACGCAGTTCTCATTCTACAGACTCCCTGACTCTAACAGCAGATCCTGTTGCTGACATCCCACTGGTACTGCAAGGACAGGTGTCTTTCCCCTTGATTCTCCATTAAATGGAGTCTTTTGTTTGTCAACTTCTCTAATGCTACATATCAGATGAGCATGTTCCCCTTTTTTAATTTTTTATTTTCTCTTATCTATATATTGCATGAATTTTCTTCATTATCTATTCTGTGTAATTTGTTTAAAAACTGTAGGATGTTATCCTTGTGCTCTGAGGACTGTGGAAAAACTACTCTATGTACTTTTTGTACTTCACTCTGAAAGCACTGGGTGGGGTTTCTTCTTGATGAAGTACAAGCATCCCACTCCAAGTCAGAAAAGGATAAATGCAGTGAAATATTGACAATCAAAAAACAGTGGCAGGTTCATCTATGAAGACATTTCATGTATCTATCACTGTGTATATACATGCAGAAAGTGCTTTTTTCTGACCATTTTGAAAAATGATAGTGTAATCCTCACAAGCAGCAGTGCTGGTAGTGTTAAATCTAACAGAGAGCATTTGAAGGTTCACTCCCAAACAGCAATGCTTTTTTTCCCCCTCAGAGTCCTTGTCCTACTCCTCTGGAATAAGTGACCGTTCCTATATAACTCAAAAATATATATTTTTTTCTCTTGTAGGTTTAGCGTGCAGGAATAAGTTGGCTGTTTACAATGTAATGGCATTTCTTTGACTTATTCTAGAATATGATTGTTTTCCTCTCTTCAGTTAGAGAACCCTGTATTTAAATGGAAATGATATCAATTCCAGAATTTGCAAATATCTTCATAATCACTTAAGACCCTATATATGTCTCAATCTACTCCTGATTTAGGCTATATTTACATTAGTGTTTTGTACAGAGCACTAAGGACCAACCAGTAGAGCAAGACAATTGATATCAAGGATCAGGTATCCCCATAACATGAGTTTCAGGAGTTTTACCCCAGATGAGTTCTAGTCTGCTCCTAGGGACTGAATCTCTGTTAACCAAGGGTGTGTATTTTGTGGTATCCTAAATTAGATTCATCAGAAAGTAGTCCAGATTGTGTACTTGGAACTCAATTTGTTCTGTAATCCAAAGGAGAAAGAGTGGGGAAACCATGCCAAGTAATTTAAGAATACCCTCCTGACCTAAAAAGAACTGAATAAATGTTAGCTGTGTACATAGCCACTGATCCAACCTGTAAGTGATGAATATCAAAGAGATTACTCACAATTCTCAAGCTGAACTGCATTTGTGCAAAGAAATTGCTAAATGGGAAAACTAACCAAGTCAGCTATCAGTGTGTTTTTGAAGGAATCCAAATGTCTCTTTCTGTCTCAACTGAGACACCAAGGTGAATATTTAGACTCTTAAGGTACTCATAGTTTGGCTCTAACATCATCTCTAAATCAAGTTTCTAGAAACTGGTAATCTGAATATCAAATCAGCATCTTTACTTAAGGAGGAAACTAAGGGCATTTTAAGTCCTCCACGATAGAAACATTTGTTTTAAGGTGAATACATACAGGAGAGAATGCCTCTAAATTAGACAATACAGAGAGTTTCTGAAATTTAACAACTGTACTATGCTATCATATTTGTTACATTATATTAGATTGAACTTACTGTTATCATACCTTTATTTTTTGAACCTGGAATATTTTTTTCCCCCTCCATGAAATGACATTTAAAAGGACCGCATTTAAAAGGATCATTAAGTTTACCTCAGTGCTGTTCTTTCAGAACTACTTAGTAGTACTGTCTTTAAAGGTCATGAATAAAGGGTAAAGTTCTTGGCTTTCTGCTTTTAAAATACTTTCCCCTTATTTTTTACCAAATGAAGGTTACTTTAATTTTCTGCTTCTCAAGACAGGAATTTGAAAAAGCATGACAACAAAAATGGATGTCAAGCTCCCCTTTTTTTTTTTTAATGGAAGGACCACATTATGAGTGAATCATGCAAAGTCCTATCAGTATCCCACAAAGGACATGACATTGAACATCAGTTTTTCCTTTCAGTACTTGTTTGTTCTATCTTAGAATCATTTCTCTATGCTAATTTGAATTATTTTTCATTTCAAGTGTAAGATTATAATAGAAAACACTGAAGAATTCACTGATTTATCAGTAGCTGCCTCATTTCTAACATTTGTTGATAAGTAAAAGGAGTCTAGTTAGGACATGGAGTGAAAATAAAGTTCACATGACATTACATATGGGCCTGCAACAATATTTGTGCAAGAGTAACAGTCCATTTGGGGGTTATCCCATGCAAAAGCTGAACAAACTAAGATGTTCTGAGAGAGATTATAAAGATGTAGGACCAATAATAAAATTCCCTTCAAAAGGAACTGGTGTAATTCTGAAGGTGGAGCAGTGGAGGAACTATCCATGTTTGCACATTCCAATATGGATCTCACCTGCATGAAATTGCTCCTTCCTAAAAAAATTTAAGCAGCAGTTTGTAGTTTCAAGCTACTTTTCTAGTACCTGGAAATCGATAAGTTAAGGAAAGACTTCATTATCAGAGCTGCAATGATTTGGCTGCCTGGAGAGCTGAGGTGGTAAATAGGTGTAATCCTGTCCAAGTTTCATTTCATCTTTAATGTTGTAGAGTTTCTTAGTAGGTTCTAAGCTCCAGGGTCACATTTCTGAATTGTGATACTCTTTTTTTTTTTTTTTTTTTTTTTCCCCCAAGCTGAAGACTACATGAAAACTTTTAAACATCTGTGTTGGTGCCTTATATTTGCAGAGTAAGGGCAGGTCAAAGAAAAGTTTCTCATGCTTGTGAGGGAAGGAATAGAATATTTCTTAATCTAAATGGCTTTACTAGAATCTGAAAAATAACAAATGATAAATTAAGTCATGAAATGATCAATAAAAGTCTTTACCAGTTCCTTATTTGGAAAGTGCTGCTTTTTTTTTTTTTTTCCCTAAACCATCTACTTTCAACAAATAAACTCACTGACAAAATTAGTTCAAATCTTTCCTATTTTTAAGATAGAGGACATATTAGCGAGGATCCACTCAGTGAGTGCCTACATGCAAATTTAATATATATATTCCCATAAACGAAGAAAATAATTATTGATATCTATAAGAAGGGTTAAACAACTGATTCCATGTCAGATACTTATTACATCTACAGTGCAGGATATGCATACGTTATACACCTTAGTTATGCCCCAAAGATTGTCAAGCATGAAATTACAGGATAAAAAAAAAAAAAAAAAAAAAAAAAAAAAAATCAAGAAAGCATAAAAATCTCAAATTGGAGTAGAATACTTATAACCACACAACATGCAAATATCTTTTAAGTCTCATAGATCTAATCACAAGCTTATCACTAAGCACATTTACTCAGATATCTAGATGTGCGATCTGTGAATACATGACTTAAGGTCAACTTCTGTGACTAATTGAAACTCACAGGAACTTTTAAGATTTTGCTTCATGTCTACTAACTGGAAATCTGAAATTAAAGGTAAAAAAAAAAAAAGAATGATTTGTGGAAAAATCACTACGTCTATAGGAAAAAACTCAGTGCATGAGAAGCCAATATTCAATGCCTTTAAAACATGGCAGATGAAATGTAAACAAAAAAAAATTGTGACAAAAAACATTGAAGATGTACTTTCAAAGGGTGTTGAAACTACTAGGAAAATTTATTTAATTTCATCAGAACAGAAAGCTAGATATGAAAACAGTGGGACAACATAATGTCTAAAGGACTAAAATAAGTGAACGGTAAAGTCATAGCAGAAAAGCTCACTAAAGTTCTGAATCAGGCCTAACTTCTAGACACACTGAGGAGAAGTCTGTATTCAATACATAATTTTTGTAAGATAGTAATAAGAAGAATTTGAAGCACATGTATAGCAATTATTGAATGAAACACACTTTACGTTTCAATAAGTCAGCAGAACTGATTGATATTTTTCTGAGAATACTGAAAGAAATCTAGAATTTTAGACCTGATTGCATTATCTGTCATTACAAGGTGCCCCTGTGCCAAGGGGCTGGCTAATTGGTAATGTCTTTGCCATCTGCAAACAAGGCTGTAGGGCAGGTCCTGGAAAATGCAGACTAGTGAGTCTGTTTTCCTTCCCTGATAATATGATACGGCCTGTAATAGAGAAAAAGATCAATGAATGCACATGAATGAGTACAGGATGTTGGAAAGGAGCCAGTATGGATTCTGCAAGAAGCAATCTCACCACATCGTCCTACGGGTACTCTCTGAATGCATTGATGAGCATGTGGGTGAAGAACAGTCACTGTGGACATACAAAAACTGGGTTTTCAAAGTCTTTGATGAAGTTTGACAGCAAAGGTTACTGAAGAATCTAGATTATTTGCTCTATAAGTTCAAAGCAAATATAGTCTACAACCTTGGGTTCAACTGCAGGTAATACATGTTCCATACACCATAAATGCATCTTAGCAAAGTTTTAACCAACTGCTGTTAAAAATGTGAGAAGATACATGAGCTAAAGGCATTCAAGATAAGAAAAGTAGAAACACAGCAAAAGAGTGAGATGGTAATTGTTGAGAAAGTAATGATCTGCATTTCAAGAATTCAGTTGCTGACATGAAAGAGTATAATTCTAAAGAAAAAAAAAAGTCCAAATATTTATGAGATGGGAAGATTAACAGGGTAAAGGACATTCCAAGTTACAGAAGAAATCTGGCTGATGCACTCTAGGCTAGGTGTGGCTCACTGGATTCTTGTTGCAGCTTGGAGTATTATTATTTAGCCTAGTATTATTTATTTACTGTGCAAATGATTGGCATGTACTTTCAGGTTTTAGTTATCCTGTTTGAAGAATATCCTTGTGTGTGCAAAGGCCAGGTAATGACAAAATGGACAGAAGAGAAAGGTTACAAGAAAAAAAAAATGATTTATGGACAGTAAAAGACTTAAAAGTTACAAAGAAACTGGTGTTCCAGTGATCACTTTTCAGAACAGTAACTAGTGGCTGTAACTCAAGACTACTAGGGGGGCAAATTTTGTTCAATGTCTTCATGAATAACCTGGAGGAAAATTTTTACGTAATCAGATTACATACTCACAGTGATAAACTCCAGATTTTTTTATTTTTTTTTTTTCAGCCTTATTCCTCAGAATATTTCTATTAAATTGCCTAGTTCTCCACTCTTTTTGATCTCTTAGATCTAATTGGAGTGGCCACAATGTTTGCAAAAAAAATACAGTCTTGGGTAGCTCATGATATCGCTGTCAGGGGATTCACACACAGTAAATTTATGTAGGTGGATTATGAGATTTTCATGTTGTAGCTCTTTTCAATTATAGCTTATCAGGAAAAAAATAAAGATGCCTGGGAGTATTGTTGTGCCAAATGTCTAGCAAAGACAGTTGCTGAGAAAATAACTTACTTTTTCTTCAAAATTAGTACTACTGGATATTCTTACAGAGGCCTTCTAAATTATTGACTGCTTTCTATCTTGTGTAATATTCTTTTTAAAATATATATGAAAATTTCTAAGTAAATACCTAATAGAATAGTAAGATCAGTCCTCACTGTGTCTTTTCCTTAATGCCTATATTCCAGAAGGGAACTTGGGAAAAAAAAAACAAAAAAAAAAACACAAAGATCAAAAAACAGGAAGAAAAGGAAGGGAAAACCCTAGGCTTAAAAGTCATTTGGAGAGATTTTTGAAAGATTTATTGCAACACTACATAAAAGCCTAAGAATCATGTCTGCAGGAAATTAGTTATGCATTCCAAGAGACTTTTTAAGTGGAACTTTGGGACTGACACTTCTCTAATCTACTTTATGAAAATACAAGTATAGAGAAACTTCCTGCCCTTCACCCAGCCCACTTAAACCTTAAAAAAGAGACTTAACAAAGAACATCTTATTTAATCTTCACACACAGTAAAAATGCTCACAGTGTTTGAGAAATATCTAATTAGCAGTCTGATGGTATCTCCGAATCATCCGTAAAGACACTGCTTAAAGATGAATTTGATGTGCTCCGTGAGAGCTAGCTTTTTCTGCTTCTGAGGACACTTAAGTGAATTGAAATGGCTTCTGTAATGTTCAGCTGATGTTGTAGTCCTCTGCATTAAGGTACATGAACATCTATTGTGTTCTTGTTCCTATAGTAAGTGACATCAATCATTTAGATTGATAGCATGCCAATGACAGAAAAAGGGAAGAAATTGTAGGTGCTTTTTCTACTATAACTGACTCATTGATACTACCCCTTTATCTTGCCTGAATGTTTCAGAGGATCCCTGACATCTAAAAGTGCCTTAGCCTCTGCTTTTTCTGGTACAGAACACTAAAGTACCTCCCTGTAAACTATTCCTTACTATGAGACAGTCAATGCCTCATTTCCTACTCTACTGGAGGACATTCCTTAATTATCAAACTACTGGAGCAGAGTAGCTCCTGGAAGAGAACAAAGTGAGTTAGCTCTCATAGTGAAGACAATTTTGTATACAACCACACACAGATTACAGAAGAAGCTTGGTGTAGAGACAAACAAAGCTGTAAATATGATTAATAGGTCGAATCTTTTGCCTACCTCTGCAATCTTCTTTTTTCTGAAACATCTCTCACGCTCATCAGAAAGTCTTTCAAAATAACTGTGTACAATTAACAAATACAGCTATAAGGGTGGCATTGTTAGGATAGCATTTTACAGGTTTATAGTTAAAAAGATCATCATGGTGGAAAGAGACAATCAAAAATGAAATGCTCACCTGTATTCTATGCTTACAGTAGAAAACTCCAAAAGAAGACATCTCCAGAAAGAGATCCTTCCTAGTGGCAGTCAGCCCTTAAATGGGGGTCTAGGAGAGGTGCAGCCAGGCTCCACCCCTCCCGGTCACACAGCTGAATTGCCTTCACCTGTACTCCCATGGCTGGCTCAGTACTTGCCTCAGGTGATCAATCAGTGGTTCAGGCCATGACTCACAATTCCCATACAAACTGATATTATAATAATAGATGATATTACCAATATATTATTTATAGATTCTACAACAGGAGGAGGCTTGTATGGCTTGATTGTCTGATCACAGACTTAAGATGCCTGACTAACTTTAAAAGGAAGTGATGTCTCCAAATGTTTATTATCCTAACAATCTTCATAGTTCTTACTCTGAGGATACAAGGGTCCATCCCCACCAGTAACATGGTAAAATCCTTCTATATCCTTTTTTTCTCTTCTCCTAAGTGCAGTTGGCATGTATATTTACATCAAGTTCAGTATCACAACCCATGGAATTGGGAAACATTGCATCAACACGCCAGCTCTCCATGGATATTCCCCTGACTCTGTGAAATCACAAACAGGCACGCAGCAGCAAAGGCTGAGTCCAAAAACGGGCATGTGAAAGACAGAATGTTTCTCTTCTGGTTTTGAACAAGTGACAATTAATTACACTTGTGAAACACTACCTTGCTAATATTTTGCTAATTGCTAATTTCTTTGTATGACGCTATTCTCTCAAGTTCCCATTAACTGATTTTTGGGTGGTCCTGTGTAGTCAGGAGCAAGACTCAGTGATCCTTATGGGTCCCTTCCAACTTGGAATATCCTATGATTCTGTGATTTGTACAATAAATATACATAGAAGAGCAGTTTACCTTTTCCTTTTTATTACTATTATTATTCCCCCCCACCCTTTTTTTTTTTTTTTTTTTGAGATCCATTCCGTCTAATCATCTGAAAAGTATTACAGATTCTACAAATATAATTTAAGGCAAACAGACTAATTAATGGCTTCATGTTACACTCACATTTATTGTAATTCATCTATATAGTTTATTGTTGTGACTTGTTCTCTCTGATTTAATGTTTTCCTGTTATATTTTTGTGTATATAGCACTGGTTTAACCAAGATCAACATCAATCACTCAGATTCCAAAAAAATGTTCACACCATTCTTCAGAAATTGGACTCCTGTAGCAATGCACTGGGATGCAAAAGTATTCTTTAACAAAAGAAATGGAAACTAGTTGCTCCAACAGTATTTATGTCTGCTCTATTTTAGAAGAGACTACTAATTTGTCATAGCCTTTGTTACCAGTCTGGAGACAGGAGCATCAGCTCTAAAGAAATCTTGGCATGACTTACTTGCTAGTGTCCATAAAAGCATTTTTATATTTGCTACTGACAAACTTACAAGTTAGCAACCCCCCAGTGAAGATTATTCCTGCTAACTGAGGTTCCGTAAATGATATTGAGGGACCCATACAAAATGGTAGTCCAGGATCTACTCTGCAAATCTTAGTGTTGTAGGCTCACACCACATGTGCAATGGAGGTATGTTACAAAGCACTAGCAGAGACAGGAAAAGATTGGATGAGAAGGTTTATGATATAATGCACATGATTAAATAGAGCTGGCGATCATCCAGCTTTGTGTGTGACAATCAGTAGCAGACTAGAAAGGCTGAGTAACAGATGGCTTGTATGGATGTTAGAAAGGTTTGTGTTTAGGCACCCAATGCTAAGCCAGCTAATCTACTTCACAGATGTCCTTCATTTTGCAGCTGTTTTTGTCTTTAGGTGTCCTTGAAAATTCAAAGTCTGATCCCAGGCTACTCCTAGATACACCTGATGTGAATTACATTTCATGTATCATTCACAGAGTGATAAATTCAGCCTTCAGTATAAGAACTGTGGAGATGTAGTTGGATGTTTGTATTTGTACAAAACTTGTCACTAGTCACAGCTTAAGGCCAGGTTGCCAATATGAACAATCAGAGTTATATCCAAGGCTTAACATTTCCATTTTGAATTGCATTTTTTTTCCACATAACTTGAAAAAATAACCTAGAATCAGTGTGAGAATAGCAAACTTGTTAGCTAAGACAACTGTTTTTCAAGAAAACAACCCATTGCGTTCTCAAGATGTCTCAGAGAAACCGAAGATCGTAAGAAAAGAGACTGAAGTAACAAACAGTAACACATAACTGTGCTTTAGATATTGAGAGGGGATATTCTTTCTAAGAAGGCTAGAAGGGTTACTGCTCTAGATTTAGAAAAACATTTGCATAGCACTCATGCATCTAGCAAATTGCAGAAACCCTAAGAAAAGGGTCTTTGAGTAACCCAGAACAGTTAAATATTTATGAAGAGAATTTTTGATGGACAAACGCATGAGATTCTAGTTTTGTGAACTAAACCACAATACAGGCAGTTTATAAAATTATTACTTATCTACTGGTCAAGATGAAACCATCACTGCTGCTTGTTGAAGGGACCATCTGGATAATGGGACCTTGGCTATGCCCCTTCCTTTCAAGGACTTGTATTCTGAGGATTACAGAGTTTCTGATTTTAGTGTATCTTTTCTTGTCTCCCTCCTTGTGGCCCTTAAGGTTCTGGTGAAAAGTTCTTCCTCAGAAATTGCAAGAAGCCACAAGAAGTGCCTTCTGATGACTTAGCTGCCAGTAAGCACAGCATTGCACAGCTGTAAATGGGCCAAGTGACCCAATAGCAAAATGAAAATGCAAGAAATTCCTAAAGTTAAGAGTTACTAGAATTTCATCTTAAGGTCTCCACAGAAAAAGGGCAATGTCTTCAAGCCAAACCAGATAGATACAGACTTATGGAGAGGAGTTACACTAAATAGTCCTCATCTGTACTTTCTGCAGACTGGTCATTATTCTCTTCTATTTTTCCTAGGAAACAACATAGGTAAGAAATGTGTTTGGGAAAGATTTCTTCAGAAGGAGATAAGAGCTGAAGCATGAGGATAAAAAAGCTTACATCTCCTTTAAGAGTTTGGATCAAGGATCCACAACAAATTGTGTGGCAAAGTAGTGGAATGAATCCAAATTCCGCAATTTCAGCCTAGGCCTCCAGCACCAAACATCTATATGTTTTCTTTTTGTTTTGAAGATACGGCCATACCAGAGACTGCTTAACATATAGAATTCACAGACATTGGTGGTATGGCTAGTCTCAAGAAGCCTACGTAAGCAGCGTGGAGACCGGGGTGGAGTGGGCTTAGTTTAAAATCTGTGGAATTTTATAGATTGAACAGTTTGCATGGTGTTACTGGGGCTTATTAGCATGCGATGTTGTTAACCTGCCAGACAAAAAAAAAACCCTCACTTTATTGTTGGGAGTTAATAATTCCACAAAATCCCCAACAATGTTTGGTTTTAAGATCTGAAGAAGCCTTGATGTTTACAGCATACATTTGTTCATGATCTACTGGGAAATTATCTCTCGCCCCCCTGCTCCCCTTGAGATATATTACTGGTAGTTGTGATCTTTTTGGGGAAGCTGACAGTCCGACTTTGCTTATTTCTTCTTCAAAGCTGCAAAGTAAGTAGCAGAACACAGTCTGACTTCTTTGATATAGTGAAGGTTGTTTGTATTCTTTGACATTGACATTTGCAACTATCACAATGTTTGTCCTACTAGCACAGGTTTTCAGAAACCAAGCTTTTATGCAGCATCTTATTTTTCTGATTGCGAGTGTCAAAATCAGTCTCTTGATTGTTCCTACTTGCTGTAATTTGACAAACAACATTTTTAAGTCTTCTGACACTGGATAACTTCTGTATGAAGCTAAAGCTTGACCTGCTCTAGGAGTGGGGAAGAACAGGTCCAGCCACCACCAGCCTTCAGACTGCCTGAAATAAAAAGCCCCAAAACATGTAATGTGGGCATCAGCACCCACTGAGCTGGTCAGCTATTCAACAGAACTATTCCTCTTGATCTCTAGTACCGATCTCTCGATGTTGGCATAGCCAATATAAGACTGGAATGTTACCTAAACCAATGTAGAAAAAAAAATCATGGCTTTTACAGAGATAATGACTTCCATCTTAGTGTGCTAGCAACGTACATTTAGAGTGCAGAAAGCTGAGTTTTGCTCCAGCATTTCACATACAAGAAGAACAGATCTGGGTCACGATAAGTAATAAGCACCAGAATCTGACAAAAAACTGTACGTTATGGATAGAGGCTTAACAAAAGCAAGTGTAGAGTCTTGCATGTAGGAAGGAATAATTGCATGCACCGGTACAGGTTGGGGGATGAGCTACTGGAGAGGAGCTCTGCGGAGAGGGACCTGGGCGTCCTGGTGGACGATAGGTTGGCCATGAGCCAGCAGTGTGCCCTTGTGGCCAAGAGAGCCAATGGCATTCTGGGGTGCATTAAAAAGAGCGTGGCCAGCAGGTCAAGGGACGTGATCCTCCCCTTCTACTCTGCCATGGTAAGGCCTCATCTGGAGAACTGCGTCCAGTTCTGGGCTCCCCAGTACAAAAAAGACAGGGATCTCATGGAAAGAGTCCAGCAGAGGGCCACAGAGATGGTGAAGGGCCTGGAGCATCTCCCCTATGAAGAAAGGCTGAGTGAACTGGGTCTGTTCAGCCTTGAGAAAAGGAGACTGAGAGGGGACCTGATCCAGGTCTATAAATATCTAAGGTGTGGGGGGCAGAGTAGTGAGGCAAGACACTTTTCAGCAGTGCATGGAGACAGGACAAGGGGAAATGGCCAGAAACTGCAGCACAGGAAGTTCCTCACAAATGTGCACAAGAACTTCTTTACAGTGAGGGTGACGGAGCACTGGAACAGGCTGCCCAGGGAGGTGGTGGAGTCTCCTTCTCTGGAGATGTTCAAGACCCACCTGGACACCTACTTGTGTGACCTGGTGTAGGGAACCTGCTTTGGCAGGGGGGTTGGACTTGATGATCTCTGGAGGTCCCTTCCAACCCCTATGATTCTGTGACAGCCAGACTATAGCACAGTAGACTGGAACTGGAAACACACATTAAAC